CCATTTAAAAGTTCGTTTATCGTAATGAATTCTGCTTTTAGTGCCTCACCATCGGTATTTAAACAAGTTTATAGTTTACATGCTATAAAATACTAGCAGTGTAAGCATAACTCTATTTTATAAAACAAACAACTGTATTAGCCTGATATTTTCAAGGTTTTATATGTGTTTTGGGTTTTCTTTGCGACAAAAAAAATCAACTGATACATTTTTTTTTCGTAAATCGCAACATATTACTGCTGAAATAAATATGAATTTCAATCCTGTCACTGTTATATCGGATTTTGAACCTACTCTAGCAGAGATTCTCACGAGTGAAGAAAGCGTTATTTTTTCAATTCCAACAATTATTGTTATATCTTGCTATATTTAGTTTCCTAACTGTAACTATATAGAATGCTACTTTCATTTTACACAGGCTGTTTATCGTCATATCCAATAACTTGATTTATCCAATAAAGATAATAATACTTAAGATGTCCGCATTATATGTAGAAAATTAATGGATCTCTCGGTAATGCCTGTGTCTTTGGTCTTGCAAGCTTTTGACGATTTGTATGAATCACTCCTACGAATACCATTGAAAAAACTGATTTATTAAGACCTCTATTTCACTACTGTGAAAAACATTGAATCACAATAGTTGATAGAAAAAAAATGGAATGTATATGGACTAAAAACAATAAGGGTGAAGGTTTCCAATATTATTCAGTATTAAAATATTTTCCTCATTCGTATATATTTCTAGGATTTCATATTGGTGTAAAGTCAAGATCATTAAAACCTCATTTAAGCATACAGACTATTATTAAATGTATTCAAGGAGAAGAAAATAGGTTTAATTGCCTAACGGTTCAAATGAAAGGTGGTATTTCAGCCTGATCAAAAAAAAAAACAAATGCTATAAAACAGACTTAATAGTTAATATTCCCGTTATGAAAATGGTTTTGCTGATTCTAACGCACTTTTCGATGTATTGTCTTATGTTGTTGCTAAAAATATTGAATAAGACAAATGAATCATCACTACTTTAAGGTATAGTGATATTTTATCTTGACCAATATTATGAACTTTTCTAATCTTTTTCTTTGCTTAATAAGCTTTCTTTTCCGTTTTATGTGCTATTATTATGAAAATGAACTTTCTTTTAATTCGATATTTTTTCTTTCGATATGTTTCGTTTTAAACTTTTTTTCCAACAATTTGTTTTCATCATTGTTGCCTTTCACGTTTTTCTTTTGTTTCTTTTTTTATCATCCCCCCCAAAAAAAAGCGATATTGTGCAAGAAAGAATACAAATAAAAGAAATACGCAATTGCTAAGGAGGTGTCTTCTATCTCTCTTGTCACGAGGTAGACGTCCGCTTTCCACAGATGAATATATTTAACTTGAAAAAAAACCAAGTGGCTCTCTTCGAACGACATATACACGAAGTAATCAATCGCAAATGAAATATACAACAAAGTAATTACAATCATACTCGTGTTAATTGTAAGTAGATAGTCATCATCATTTTTTTTCTATCCCTACGGTTGACAGTATTGAGTTATTAAAATATTCATGAGCGACGCAAGCTGAAGTTTCTAGAGATATTAATACATTTTTTTAAGCCGATAATAGTAATAAGTTTTTCTTTTTACAGTTTATATTTAATCAATTTATTTATTTTAAAAATATTTTTTTTCTATCTTTGTTTTTCGATACAAATTCAGTTACAATAGTATCTAAATCAATGTCAAAACTACGTTTGATACTTATTAAAGATAAACTTGATAATCTCTCTTGAACTATTGTGTTGCACATGACTAATTCTCATTTTAGAACATTAAGAAAATTAAGTTTAAATAACATTAAGTTGCTTCTAGGGTGTTGGATATAGATATGGGTGTGGATACAGATGATATCAATATTCACATTCACACTCCAAACTCCACTTCCTCCCACACCCACATCCATCTATATCATAAGCGTCAGTCCGTTTTCATGTCATGCCCTTATTCATTGTTTACTTGATGTTTTATAGAAATTTTAAACTTTGCAACCACTCTCCCATGAACTTAGAAAAAAAGAAAGCTTTCGGAGCAACACTTGCGAGATTACAATGTAAAACACGATGAGATTGTTTCAAATGAACATAAAGATGCTTTTTATTTACCTAATCATCCACCATGAGATTGGTTTATTTGGTTTATGAATTTTGTATCGATTAAAAACCCAACGCACCACATAAAAATACAGTAATTCAACGTTCGAACATTCATAACACTATGGTCTGGAAAATCGTAATAAAATAGTGCGACGAACCATAAAACCACGTCATCTGTCTGCCACGGTCTGGAAGGAGAGAATGAGGTGGGATTGGACTTGCTCGCTATACACTTCAACATTCATTTTCAATCATGTTTCATAAATGTGAAAGCTTTTGGGTGAATCCATCGGTATCCAACCACTTTTTGGAAAAAGATTTTTTATCGAATTTTATGTGATGATTCGATGAAAATTGAGCAGAAAATGAATTTGACTAAAAAAAATTGTCACTTCTATCTAATATACTGGAGATTTTAATCGTTTTCTGGGAACATCTAAGGATCATATTTTGTCTAAAGATGGGAGAGCACTAGACTAGCATAACTTCCCAAGGATTCTTTTTTTTTCGAATGGATTATGATTATGATACAAGACTTAAGAAGCACGATTTTTACGAAAACAGTTTTCTACAGCAAATGCGTAGTAGTAGTATTCTATAACAGTCTTGTATTTATCTTGGCCATAATACATTGGAAAGAAGAATCCTTTGAAGATTGTGCTAGTCTAGTGATCTGCCATCTTTGGACAAAATATGACCCTTAAATATTGTAATAACGTATATGCAAGGGAAAATAGTGGACTCCAGGACTTTATTAGACTCCAAACATATTTGGAGTCCGGAAGTCAATGTTAACTGATTCATACGTTTCTTTTTCAAACATGACTAATAATGGCAAATAACATGTTAAACTGTGAAAAATCAGATAGATATTTGAATCAACATTACTGAAGTTTCTTCTAAATGTTCAGTCAAAGAAAGATCATTTCACTTATTGTTGACATCTAGTTTAAAGATAAAGTTATAACCATAATACAATAAAGCTCTAAAAATGAAATATATCTCAACACAATAGAATAGTCGAAGAAAGAATAAAATAAGAGAAAAAATTGCATGATTCCAGATAATAAAAATTTTATTTGGTTCGAATTATTTTTTGTTACGAATTTCGAGACAGACGAAGACCATAAGGGTATTACAAAAAAGATGAAAAGAATATCGAATCATTTTTTAGTAAAATATCTCGGATTATCTTCAAACATTTTTGCTTAAAACGAAACTAGTACTCCAGTTCTGTTCATAATCTCACTTTTTGTACTCTTTTTCTGTGCAATCATCTACTGAATCTCTATTAAGTCATACTCACATAGAATTTTTTTAGTATCATTAAATGATTTACTTAAGTTTATTTATGGCTTTACCAATATAAAACCCATATTCTTTAAAATAGTACAATAATAATGCTATTACAAAGTAAATTTTTTTATCTAATAAACATCTGTTTTAGGTCAAATGCCAAAATATAGCTATATTGTTCGAAGAAAATAATTTAAAAAAATGCTTGTCAGGCAAATTTCTTGTCTAGAACCTGCTCTTACAAACAATGAAAAAATCAAATCTCCAAGATCTGATTCTTCTGAGAATTAGAGATTGACACCTGTTCTCCTTCCTTTGCTTAATGATATTCCTTCAAAATTATTTTGTTTATGCACATATTTCTGTGTTTGAGACTGTTTTTCTAATAATTTTCTGACTTTTCTGCAGTATACGGAGTACAATGGAGTACACAGAATGTAATATAAAATCGAGGGGAGAACACAACGGAGTCCAGTCGGAGTGCACGGACTTTGTGGAGTACAAGAGTACGTCGTTTTCTCCTTGATTTTGCTGCGAAAAACTAATATGAGTTTTTAGTTATTCGTAAGTATATCCCAACATGTTTCTCCTAAATAAGCATCCGAATTAAGTTTTACTTTCCTACATCATGGGCGTGCATATTCACGTCTAAAATAGTATTCTGGCAATAATAATTAGTCTTTGAATGATGAACATAAACGCGAAACGGCATGAAGAAAACAATGTGTAGGAAATAAGAAATTCAAAGGAAAGTAATTATTTCGATGGAGAGCTGTTTGTTTAACTAAACAGTGTCGAAAATATTCTTATTTGAAGATAAAAATAAAATAGCGATATAAAATATTTTCATAAAAATAGCCTATCTAGTTGCTATTGTACAAACAGCTAACGTGAATTGATGAACGACAAATTGGTTTGAGCTATTTAAATGAACAAAAACTAATAAAGTAAAATATGCCTTGCTTTTACAGCTGTCCTTTTCTTCTGGGTCGAATAGAAGCGCTATTTTACTTGAGAGTTAGTTAAAGAATAAGTTTAGTCTGATGGAGACTAGAGGTGTGCAGGGTAAGAAAATTTTTCTTTTGAAAGGTACAGAGTACGTAAAAAGTTTACCCTGCACACCTCTAATGGAGACAGAATATGGCAAAAATGTATTTCTGGCAAAGATTTGTATACTTTAGAAAAAAAATTTTCTTTCTGTCGTTCAAACTGATGCAAGAGAGCTCCTTAAAACATTTGCTTGAAACAGTTATGAAGTTTTACGCATGATACTCTTGAAAATTATATTAGATTTCATGGAATTCTAAGGGACTCCAATGGGCTGGAGTTCGCTGTTTCCTCCTTGCGTATATAACACCCCTTAGATATTTCTAGAAAACGATTAAAATCTTCAGTATTTTAGATAGAAGGGACAATTTTTTTCCACTAAAGTTATTTTCTCTCCACCTTCGATCGAACCAGCGTATAAAATTCGATAAAATATCCTTTTCCAAAAAGTGGTTGGATATCCATGGATTCACCCTTTTAAGTTCTACAGATTCTTACAACATTTTTTTAGATGTCAACGCAAACTCTAAGTTACACAAGAGAATCTTTAATTGATGAAAACCAACATTTTGATGATTATTACATTGTTTGTGTTAAATTAAATGTTACTGATACCTTCTGTCCAAAATGGCTTGACAAATTAGAAAGACTAAAAAAATGTCTAAATATATCGAAAGTATTCGACAACCTAGATATGTTTTACATCTATCTAGATTCAATTAATAATGAAAAAATATTTGTGATTTTGATGACAGGACATACTTCTGAAGATTGGGCTTGGCATATGTTTAGACTTCCGTATTCATCGCCTGTAGACATCAATAAATGTATCTTCTATCATCCACAAGTTGTTCGTATTTATATATTTGAAAATAACAAATTAACACTGAACATCGCATTACATCAATTTCGTTCGAAAAAAAGTTTACTTAAAAGACAGCAAACATTGTATATGACTAACAATCAAGAGAAATTATGGAATGAAGTAAGCGACACAACTACAGCCGATGAAATAGATGTAATTTGTTATGACAAGAATGTTTTGGACAGATTTCACGATGAGTTTCATCGATTTAACAGTTCATCTTTTCACAAATACAATGTTTTCGAAGAAGTTAACCTCGTACTCAAGCACATTGATTTATCTGCGTCACAAAATATCGTTTTAATTATTGTCGATCCATCCTTAAATAATGTATTAAGAACTATTAACAATAATAAATATTACTTCCTACAAATAAAACTAAAATCGATTTATATCTACGAAATCGACCGTGTTCATCCATCATATTTGTGTCAAATGATCTATTTTATTGGTCAAAATGACTTAGTTAGTGTTTTAACTCAAGATGCTGCATCTGATGCCGACTACCTAAATTCAAATGAACTTATTTTCTCAAAGGATGAAAATGAAATATCTCTGAGAAGTTTAGATAAAGTTCACTTCGAACTGTTAACTGAATATCTTACTTGCCTGCCTCAAACAGAGTCGTCAAAGAAAGAAATGATTGAGGAATGTCGCAGATGGTATCAAAATGATTCGATTGAGCAAAGAAAAATTGACGAATTCGAAGAAAAGTACTTTAGCGCCAATGCAATATCATGGTATACAAGGAACAGTTTTCTTTATCGTTCATTAAACAATGCATGTCGTACAGAAAATATTGATTTAATCTATACATTCCGTTTTTATATTCATGATCTTTATCAACGGCTCCGTCAATTGCATATGGATTTTATTAGAGATTTACAAGATATTAATGCAGATGTTCTTCATCTCTATCGTGGGCAGCGTATGTCATCTAGTGAGTTTCAAGAACTGAAACAAAACATTGGCAAACTCTATTCCACAACTACATTTCTTTCGGCAACATTTGACCCTGATGCTGCACGTTTATTTGCTTCATTTTATGATGATGACAAACAGTCAGATTATAAGAATGTATTATTCAAATATATAGTTAACCATAATCTTGGACAGACAAAACCGTTTGCTGACATTTCAGAAGAAAGCGTTATGCAACATGAGCGGGAAGTATTATTTTGTATGGGTAGCGTTTTTCGCATTGATTCAATCCAACAGTCAATAGATAATAACATTTGGAATGTAAATGCTACTTTAGTAGAAATAAATGAGCAAATTCAACCGGAAGAAACAAGCACACAAGTTCTTCTAAAATTAGGTGATTATGCAGTCATGATAAATGAATTTGACAAAGCTGAACTTTTTTATCACCAGATTCTTGAAGATGATAAAGAGAATATCGATGCCATGATTCAAGTTTACGAACGTATTGCTCGCCTATATACAATCAAGAATGAGTATTCAGCAGCAATTGAAATGTACCAAAAAATAATTGCTTTAAGCACAGATTCACTCTATAAAAAAGTTGAAATTCATATGAAGATTGCTCAAATATATAATAAAATTTGCGAATACGCACAAGCCGTTGTATATTTTGAGTTAGCGCTTGACTTCTTTGCCGATAAAAATTGCACTGATTGTGCCAAATTATACTCTTGTATTGGTGATATGCATAGCATACAAAGGAATTGGTCAGCAGCACAACAAAACTATATGAAAGCACTTGTAGTTGAAAATTGTCCCGAAGAATTACGTGATACATGCAGGAGAAGCCTTCAATGTGTTTAAGAGAAGAAAAAATACTTCTCTTGGTGGTTTTTTAACTGGATTCTATGGGTATTGTGGATATTAATTTACACGCCTGTGCTCTATGGAATCTGTCTATCCTATTTTAAATTTAGCCCTCCTCAATGGTACAATAATTCTACAATTTTATATGAAGATCGACAATACTTCTTTAGTATTGGAAGAGTGTCTTCGACCTGTTCATTCCATTATATTTGCCGTTTTCTCTTTGAAAAACGAAAGGATTTCAATATTCATAAAAGACAAGTAAAAACTGTTTTACAATTAGTTTCGACATGTATGCAAATGTATGTCTTTTGGCAGCACGGTCCATATATATGCTCAATTATTAGTGCTCCAATCAATTTAGTGAAAATGAGAGTATTACTTTCTTTAACTTCAATGATGATTGAATTCGATACAGTCCACTATTTGGCTATGGTTTATTTTTACTTACCATCTGACTTCGTTTTTATTATTATTGCACGCAAATGGTTATGTCGAGCTGTACGATATTATGAGCTTGAACCAGGAATCACATCAATATGTGATTTGGTATGTGATGTAGGAAGAATTGAAATATTTCGTGCATACATAATGCGCAACAAGTCGCATAATGAAAAAGTTAATAAAACACTTGATTATCTATATCCGAATTTGGACGTTCATAAATCACAATATTTAAATAGATTATTAGATCATTGCGTACGTCGTTTATCTCCTATCGGTAAGAAGAAACTTCGACAATTATTGCTCGTTATCGGTTCTTTATGTCAACTCTATTTTCTACGTTGCATTCAGAATGGTATGTCAGGATCATACTTTTTCATTTTATTTAAACTTTCATTATGTCACTCGATGTATCTCTCCGTAAGATATGATCTACTTCTTACAATATGGTGCTTAGTATCTGTTGAAGTATTTACAATATATTTTTTCATACTTATTCCAATAGAAGCATGGTTTTTCGATCCTCTGCTTACAATACTACAGAAGTATGACAACGACGAGAGAAATGAGAATAAACCGGAAGTAGTTCAAAATGGAGTTGACATAAAATGTCGCAAACAAAGACGTCGCAAACAAAAACGTCGAAAACAAAAACTTCGAAAAGGAAACCGTTGAAAGTGAAAATGTCGTTAAAATAATGGAAAAGGAAAACATCGAATATGAAAACGTCGAACCGAAAAAAATGGCAAGCAGAAAAATGTAAAAAACTCTAAATTCTTTCTTTTACTTGGCAATACAAACCACTAATCTTTCATCATTAAAATGAAAAAAAAGAAAGAAAGATTGGATTAAAACCTCATGTTTTGAGTTTTCCATTCAATGATGGTTGCCTGAACAAGAGGACGTTTGCACCGATATCTTTTTTAAATTTTATACATTTAACGCGTCAAATCGTAGTTCTAAATCTTTTATATTTACTGACTGTATACAGGGGATGGCGCACACTTAGCTGAAACGTTATATGCCTGAAGCAAATATGTTCTTATGGAGTTAGTTGTTTCTTGCTAAAGTGTTTATTTTTTTCGCCATTGTATTTTTCGATGTTTTCTACTATGACCGTTCATAACGATTATGTCTACGATTTTATCCCACCAAACATCTTTTCAATCATTGACTCGATGAATTATTGAAGCATATCTATAGAACCCATAGTTGCACTCGTCGGACATTTGACATATTTGTCTTTCGATGAAAACAAAGAATATTCCTGAGGTTTATAAACATAAAGAGAGGAAGTGATTGTATATTATAGTTAGCATTCCCAGTGAAAAATATCAAGAAAATAAACAAGCAAGTAATACACGTTGTTACTGATTCAATATTGAAAATAGCCTTCATTAAGCTTCGACTTGAAAAAAAAGAGAGCAATGTTGAGCTCGATATATTCACATCATCATCACGGAACATAATATTGTTCAACAAAACTGGCGCTCACGTTCAAATAATCTGTGTATTAGCAGAGACCAGTCCGTGCTGAAATCAAACTAGTATAAAAAATCATTCATGTACTTAGGGTGTCGCTGCAACTCGATTTTCGTCGGTCATTTCTTGAGGGTGTGGGTGTAGATGAGTGTCAGAGTTAGCATGCGTTGTGACTGTGGCTGTTAACGTGATTGAAGGGAATCCATATTCATACTCACATCCTTAAATATTCATTCGTAACAGACACTGGAACGAGTATAGAATTCATCAATTTTGTCTCATGCTATTATCAACCCATATTCAGAAAGCTACACCTGAACATTTCGGCATTCTCTTGAGCAATTAAATGCTTCAGAGACTGTGTAATAAAAAGTATTCAGTCTAAGAAAAATAGATTTATTTTTATCGATTCACACGTGTACAGCTCGTTGAATATGAGTCAACTGGTTGGGTATTTAGTATGTGCTGAGTTTTTTTAGCTTCAGGTGATCAGAAATAATTTATTCAGTGGTATTACGGATCAGACTGATTTCGACGATTTGCATTTCATTAATTGTAAAATGTCGATCTTCAATTTGTACTCAAATTTCACGAAATTCATTTGATCATGTCACCAATGTACTATGAGATTGAGCTTAGGCATCGAACATCTAAAGCACTATTGATACTCCCACTACAACGAGGCCTAAAATTTCTCTTAAGAGTGCTGCGATGTAATATAATACGTAAACCACTGCCTCTGATACACTCGTAGTATTAAATAGTTAGTTTTCTTGTTAGAAATGTAAAGCAAAGGTGAACTTGTCTTAGAATGTCTAATTTTTTCGCAAACAACAATAAAAATAAGACAAAAGAAACGTTGTGAGCAGGGTTTGAACCTATGAAGGAAAACCTCATCAGAATACTAATACACTTCATTAACCACTCGACCATGCAAAATGTTCATATAAGATAGACTCTTTAAAGCATTGAGTGTTCACTCGTACGATAGCAATACTTACATTACACTCGAGTAGCTTGCTTACAGCAAATGTTTTTCAAGATTGCATAGTTTCTGTGCAAGCGAAAGATCTGCCAAGGGTATTTTCTCATCCGTCGAGTATGATTTATACAATTTTAGCCATGTTTTACATTTAAATACTGACGGCTTTGAGATTCTAGCATAGAGAATATGACAGAATTTTAACGATTATGAGGTTTTCGACAAGAACTGAAAGGCATACTATGTAATTGATTTCATAAAAAGACTTCTCCATTAAATTTTGCTAATAGTACAATTATACTTTGGAGTCTTGTATCGATGATTACCAGAGAGAGAGAGAGAAAAAGAACGCAACAAAAATGAGCAAAATTGATCATGCAAAATTAACATGCCACAGACACGAAAGCAAATAAGCGAAATTATAATAAAATAGACTAAGGCAATACAGCTAGTTAGTAGTAAAAGTTTTAGTTTTGTTTACTTTGTATAAATTTACAGTGAAAAAGATTTTATCGCAAGTTTTAAATAAAAGAGATTCTGGAATAATTGAACATGAAAATGGTAACGTAACAATCAAATAAAATAATATAAATGAAAGCCTTGCCAATCATTAATACAAAATAATTTTCTCTTTCATTCTTCACAGCAAATTTTCATTTTATAAAATAAATATATTCAAAATATAGATTGTTAAGATTGATTTACTTTAGATCATTGATTGTGTTCAAAATGGAAACCTATCACTTATACTTATTTTTATTATTTGTATTTCGATGATTGTGGTAATAGTATGAAATAAATAAAGTATGCAACAATATAAAAAAAAAAAGTTATTTTCAATTTTTTATCATTCAAAAATAACCTTGTATAAGATTTATTGACTTTTGAAACATACTCTCATCTTGATAAAAAAATCTGAAATTTTTTACAAGATCATATTATCAAATGAATAAAATGTATCAGATATACAGTGAATCGAATATTTACTCATCCACCTATGTAATGTCATCTTATTTTCTTAGCTATGCTAGAATCAATAAAACTAGTGAGTTTAATTATATATCATTATGTAATACAGCATACCTATATGATGTACATAGCATTACTTTCAAGAATGTTTCCATTATTATTTCGTTTTTTCAAACAAGATGATGAAATGATACCAAATTTTCATAATGAAAAATTATTCGTTCAGTTTTGAAAAATAATTCATATTCAATCAATAATTAGCAATAATGAAATAATATTTTGATTTCATTCATGACTCGGAGCTCTCAGGGAGCACAATTCAGTTCAAATAATCTGATGAAGTGAATTAAAAAAGGAATCTTTTGTAATAGACCATCTTCAAATTCACAAACTCTGATACATCGTAGAGATCATTTTTTTTTCTTTATCAGTCTCACTAAAATGTTCTAGAACTAGAGCTTGAAAGTCTTTCTGGTGATTAGTCACAACTAGAAGAATATTTCTTTTTATTAATAATTCACATAATATAAACACAGAATAAAAACGATTCGATCAAATTCAACTTTTGTCTTCTAAAAAAAAAAAGCGTTTATTAGCTCAAGAGAAAGTGTGCATAAGACACGCATAACTTATAGCCCTCTGAAAAAACAAAATATTTCTATCATCAAGTTTGACATGTACCTTTGCTTATGATGCTTGTCTCATGTAAATTATTAATACCGAGAAATATTTCTTCTAGCTGTGACAAAAATCACCAGGAATACTTTCAAGCTTTAACTCTAGAACTTTTTGGTGAGACTAGTAAAAAAAGTAAAATGATCGCTACGATGTATCAGTGTTTGTGGATTTGAAAATGTGTCACGAATACAATCAAAATATTGTTTCACTATTGCTAATTATTGATGGAAATTAAATTATCGTTCAAAATTGAACGAATAATTGTAATACTATGTAAACTATATAGGTATAGTGTAATACATAATGATATATAATTAAACTTACTAATTTGTTTTATTCTGCCATAACTAAAAAGAAAAAAAATAGGATGACCTTACATTAGATGAACGAATAATTGTTCGACCCATTGTATGTATACTTCAAATGGTTCTTTCTTTTGACCGGTCTAACATCATTATTATGAAAGTTGCAGCACTGATAATTCCAGCAAAAGCTGCACCAAATAAAGTAGCCATGCCACCAAGAGACCAACTAGTATCTTCATCTTGTTCATTTGTTCTCTGTTGTTGTTGTTGACGATCTTCATCTATAATCTTCTTTTTTATGCATCGAATGAGATTGTTATTAATCGTTATTATTTTTTGATTGTGTAAATCTGATCGATCAATTGATCGTCGATGTTGATTATTTTTTCTTTCAAGTTGTAAAAGAATTTTTCTTCTTTTACTAAAATGAATTCGATCGTTATCAAGTAAATGACGTAATTGTTCATTAAGTTGATCAATACTTTCATTCAATGAGATATTAATTAAATCTTTACGAAATGAATTGATTTCAGTTGTTGACATTCGAAATAATTAAAAAATAGATTTGTTTTTCTTTTAATGAAGAAATGTATAATGACTAATGAAAAAAAATGCGTCTGTTTTTTGAAGCTTGATGTTATTATTGTTGGTTTTATTCACTTTTTTTATTTTCATTAGAAAAAAGCTAGATAACAAATGCCTTTTTTTTTCTGTTCTTTTATGCTTTTGCTAAAATTAGCCTTTATAAAATGCTGATGAGAAAAAATCCAAATGTTTTCACGTTTATCATGTATTGGTAGAATAAGATTTATGCTTTTTAGTGCAGTGTACTGAAGGTAAACCTTCATACTGTTGAAAGTATGTTATCGACATATATTTCTTTCTATTTTTTTGAATATGTACGCCACCACAACATATGACAAGAGAAAGGAAAGAAGTTTACAACGATGATTATTTGCAAAATTTTTTCGAGATTATAGAGTAGTTAGCGTAAGAATATTTAATATATAACATGTCACTTTTCTTATTTATCTATTTGATAACGTTATGAAGAAATGAATTTAAGTGAGATTACATGTTTAATCATGAACATGATAGAACAACTTTCAAAACTATTTGAATATTAAATTATTTGATTTATTTATTTATATTGAATGTTTTGACTAATAGATAAAATTATTAACTGTGAAGAAATTTCATTTTGAACAATAAACCTATCTGCAGATGATTTGCAACAAATATGATTGATGTAATGCAATAATTCAATGACTATTGGTCTTTTAATCAAATGATATAGAGACACAGTATAATCCATGTATATTTTAATACATTTCATATTTAAGATTAATAAAAAAAAAAGAAAACAAATCTAATATTATTGTTTCTTTTTAACACAAATAAAATAAAAACCCATAGAGAAAAGATTTGCAGAAATTAAAAAAAACCTTTGGAATATATCTAGAATAAATATAATTTGAGTACATGTGACTTTGTCTTTAAAGAAGATTTCAGTATTTATTTTCCACACATCAATCAGCTAAACAATCATTAATAGGAATATCAACAGTACTATCAACTAGCTTTAACAATTCAATTATGATTGTGCCAATCGATATCTTCTCGTCGACGTTTTTCGATTCGTTAATGTAACGTATCTATATATTAAACTGAGTTAGTAAGACAACCAAAATATCGTATAATCAATGATTGACATCATTTAGTTGTATATGCTTCAATGGAAGCCACCCTACGCTTCATACACACAAGTCCATGCTAATAGATTTCTTTATTTCTCTTATCTACGCTATTTTCTTTTCTCTCCTGTATAATGAGAAAGACCTGTTTTTGTATTACGTTTGATATATTACAACTAACTTTTTCGCAAATATCACTAAAGGAGATATTAGACATTTAGTTGTATATATATATATATATATAAAGCTTGTAAAATTGTTTCAGAAGTTTTTATTTTTTGATAAAGTCTAACAGATGAAATAAAAGTACGTATTATTTTCCAATGGAATAAATAAAAACAACTTTTCGTTTTTGTTTTTTATTTTAGAATGTCATATAAGAATGCAGAAAATCCTCAATGTCCTCGTTGTGGTCATGCAGCTTTTCATGCGGAATCAATTCCAGCTGCTGGAAAAGTATGGCATAAGACATGCTTTCGATGCGGTAAAGAAATTTAAATTGAGTTTTTGTTCTTTTCGTCCATTGTTACATTAACCAATTTTTATTATTGATTTTTCAAAATCTATTTAGGTCTTTGTAAGAAAATGTTAGAAGTTCCAACTTTGGCTGAACATGATGGAGATTTATATTGTAGACAATGTTATACACGTAAATTTGGTATTCGTGGTGTTGGTTTTGGTATAGGAGCTGGAGCACTTGGTATGGATGCTGGTGAACGATTTGGAAATACACAATCTTTGTTGTATGTTTACTTTTATTTTTATTTAATATATATGTGTAAATTTATCTTTTAGAAATAGACCCAGCTATCCTCCAATGCCTCATCTTCCACCATCTAGATAGAATAGTTTTCATATATAATCAATTGATTTAATTACCTATTGGATGGATAATCAATGAATGCATTATGAGTTTTTTTTTCTTTAATGATTGTTACACATTTTTTATATTTAATCTGTTCGGTCAAAAAAAAAATAATAATAAAGTCATGTGTGAATTTTGACTAAATAAATAAAAATCTAGTAGTAGTAATATAGTCTTTGTTTCTGTGATCATTCTATGGAATAGTAAATATAAACAAAATAAATCAATTTTTTTTTCATACAAAATTGCCAATGATCTATGACCTCATCAGATGCGTTTCTCTTTGCTAATAGAAGTTATTAATATCAATGAAAATGAATGAAAACATGCATTTATCTATTGTACGCAGTTTTCTTCTTCCGATCAAGATTAATACTGACATCTCAATATCAAAAAGCTATTCTCTTCTATGTAGCTCTATGTCAATGATAATATGAAGTGATGATTGTCACATAATTAGAACAGAAGTAATATATTAATCTTTGTCAAAATTGTACTCGAATACATTAGTCATAATCTAAATGAGACATGTCATATAACTTCGATTACTATAAAATACAAAGTATCATTTATAGTTAAACTTTTCAGTACAAGTTTGCACATAAATACAAAAAAAGGAATTTTCTCAACAGTAAAGAAAACAGAAATATATTCAAAGATCTTTTATTAATAATAAAGCAAAGTAAAAAAATATTTCTTACATTATTAGAGTATCATCAGCAAGAAAGTATTAATAAATTAGTTAATCTATATTAAAATCTTCAATCTCTCATGAGATTCTCATTATTATTAGTCAAATTTAACCATCCTTTAGCAGGTTTTTCATATGTACATGTATTGTTTTATAAAATTCTTTCAGAACATTAGGGACAACAATAAAAGGTTGTAGATGAGACGTTGTTTCAATTAGATGATTGTACAACTAAGTAAATGCACTGCTTTTTATATTCGTCTACCTAATAGAATTTTTCCTAAATCGAATCCTGCGAGATTCTATCAGACCCAAACAAGTATATGGTAAAAGTCTATTGAATGCAGTGAATATTTGATGAGGTCTATTACTGAATTTTGACTAGATTCTTGTAGAAGTCTATGAAATTTCGGAAGGCTACTAGCTATCTCACAATTTTGATCAAGTTGCCGAAATTGAAACGTGTGAGACTACAAATTCAAATTTTATTAGACTGATTGAAACTCGCAATTATCTGGTATCATTAGTTCCTTGTAGAATGTTTGAAAGTTATCTCATTAGATAATGTGTTAAGTGTACCTATTCTTTTGAGAAGTAGTACTTTTCGGATGCCAGCTGTTGACACAGAGGATACTTTAAATAGTTGTGTTCGGTCGTTCTGACCCATCTCTAGTCATTTTGATTGAGTGCTATTTTTTTAGGACCGAAGGATGATTAATGGACTGATAATTAGATTGTTACGTAGTTATGAATCCTTCGATCAGGAGTTTTCTGACTTCCATCACTTTTCATAAGGTTCTTTGAAGTAAGATCTCAACTTCCTTTATGTTTACAAGAATTTATAAAATCAAATAGGAATATGAATGCACAGAAAATCAAAAACAAAGATCGAATTATATTATGGTTAACACTATCTTAAACAACCGTTGATGCAAATCAGTAAAAATCAAGAGACTTGATATTGTTCTAACTAATTTAGAAAGATTTGAATTTTTTTCTGGCAATTTAATATTGATTTTGATAACCCGATATAAATATCTTGAAAAAATAAGGTTTTTCGACTGAAAGTCAATAAACCTGATTTTAATCATACTAAAACTATATACTTTAAATCAATTTCAAATAACATGCGAACAAGATTAAAATCTGGTATTCTTTCCAAAATCTTTTGCCTTAGTTGTAGAACAAAACCGATTGGATCAACAATTAAGCGTGCACGAATCAAATCGGTATTCTGAAGCAACAGTGACGAAAAATACTTGTCAACATGTAAGCTATCACAAGAAAATTTATGGCTGAGTGACTCTAAAGAACAAGGCTCTTTGTATGTTTCATCGCTTCTCTAACAAAAGTTGCGAATGCCGTTAAAAGTCATGTTTTTTTAAAAATGAATTGGCCCGTTTCGGTAGGCTCACAGAACGAGAATGAATCGGCGATAATAGTTAACAAGTTGACCATCAATGCGATACTTGTCTAACAAATGTCGTATCATAGACCGAATCTAGCTGGGTTTTGAGCATCGTTCTCGAACGATTAGGGCATCACATTAGAGTTGATATCGGTGCAAATCAATACTATTCAGTACACTTGCGCATTATCATAAAGTTTTTACTATTAATGCGTATCACCAGCTTTTCTTTTAGTATCAATGTTTTATGCTATCTAACTAGAAGTGACCTATCGTCATAAATATAATAAGTGCAACTATTATGAAGAGAAAAAAGACTATCAAACAATCAATCAAAGACTCATTTTGTCTTCGCTGATGACATTAAAATTTTACAACATCAATTATAATTTAATAAGTTACTTTTTATTTAATTCGTGCCAGTAAAATCCAAGGGGGAAAAGCGGATTCCGTCTATCCCGGATACGGTCGGGGTACAGAGGATACGGAGGACACATCGGGGATACGGAGGATACAATGGGGATACATAGGATACCTCTGAGATTAAGAAGACACAGTTTGATGCTAAGCAGAAAATTAATAAAATATGGGTTGTATATCATCGGATTAATAACTGATCAGT